TTCAAGTGCTGAGAAAATTTCTGGAAGATAACTTGGTACAGATTCAAATTGAGTCTGGAATTGATGTTGGCAGCTTTCTAAATCTTGTTCAGCTCTATCTTCGGTCAAAGATGACTAAAATTAAAGAAAATTTGTTCTTGCGAAAAAGTGGGATTTGTATTGGTTCAAAACTAGTGCCAGTTCTATCGGAAATCTATCTCAGAGTTATTGACATGGCCGTAGTGGAAGCATTTGAGGCTTATCCCAAGGAATCTGTCCTAGTTCGCAGGTACGGGGATGGCGTTCTTGTGTGTAGTTTAGACAAGGCAATGGGGGATCGGGTCAGGGTTGGGTTTTTGAGGCAGCTCCAGAGCTATTCTTTTTAGAAAAAGATATTCAGAATTGGTGTTGGAGGTTTTACGGTATATGGTTCTTGGTTGAGAATGGCCTTTGTAGGGAATTCGGAAAGGTTGAATCGAAACCTCTATTGTCTGGGTTAAGTTGTCATTCAAAAATTGTACAGAGTGGTGTGGTCAAGTCTGTCTATAATTATGAATGCTCTAAACTTTTCTTGTTCACACCGGTTAGGTTTTGGCCTGGAGAAACAACTTCAAAGGATTAATTTGGCGAACTATAATAAGGAATTTGTGTTGGCTGTGGTCCTTCGGCTTCTGAATAGTTCTACCGCGCGGGAGGTTAGGAAAGTAGACAAGAGCAAGCTTGTCTGTTTGTCCTATTTTCACATTATTTCACATAATCTGAAGGCGATCGCAAGGATATTCGGAGTGACTGCGGTTTTCAAACCGGACTTTCGATTGGTTAACGCCCTTTGTGTCAGATAGGTTGGGGTGTCAGAGGAAGCACAGGGAGCAAGCAGTCAGTGGTTTGCGATCTTGGAGTTGTGTACGAAGTACCTGTGAGTTGCGGTGCTAGTTATGTGGGTCAGACTCCGAGGTGTATTATTGATCGACTTTGTGAGCATAAGAGAGCGGTTAACAACAAGGATGAGTTTTCAGAGTTAGCTAAGCATGTCACCCGGTGTACTGATTGTAGCATTCACTGGGAGGAGACAAAAATCTGAGATAGGGAGCAAGACTGCTACAAACGTCTGGTAAAAGAGTCCTTGAGAATAATTAGCAAGGATAGTGTCTTTAGCAATGGGTCTGTTGCTTTATGTGACCCCCTTCGAACGTTTCTAAATTTTTTTTTCTCTTACTTGTTTAGGTGTGTTATGAACTTTTTGGGTTTTTTTTTTTTTTGGTCTTTGCCTGGGTCTCGGAAGCGTATCTAGTTATCGCTTGCACCCTCCTTTTGATCATTCATTGTTAGAAGTATGCCTATTGATATCATGTGTCCTGGTTCTGAGGTTCTTTGTTGTCAAACATTTTTTGTCTGTGTAGCTTCGTCGTAGGTCTATTTAAGGACGTGACGGTGAAATAAAATGTTAGCTTTGTCTGGAGTTTTGTGTCTGTCCTGCATCCCTTCTTTGCACCGGCTCCAGGGTTACTATGCCTGTAGGGGGTCCAATGTTCGCTACATTGTAAACCTGTACGTGTTCATCATCTCAAACACGCGAGGTGCTCGAGGCGTTTACCATCCTGGGATTGGCCGATAGCTCTGTTAATCAGCGGTGGGAGGCTTTGAGTGAAAAAGAAGTTGCGTTTTGCCATCATTTGGCTGTGCTGAACAGTATTCCCCCTGGTGCCGGTGTCCTCTGCGAGGAACGAATCTTGCTTCATATTTTTTTTCGTCACCTGATATACCAGACTTGTGAGTACGCGCCCGTCTGTGTTCTGTGTTTCTTCCTCTTTTGTCCTGTCTCTTTGTGTAGGATTTTTTATTATGTTCAACGTATACCAACTCGCCCAGCTTACCACTTTACTACAATTTATTTAACGATGCTCTCATAGTCCCCCATGCAGTGTTATTTAGTTTTTTTTTTTTTGTTTTTTTTAATGAAATGCTTCGACCCAGGTGTAATCGGAAAGCATTAGGTATTTTCAAAAATAGAGTCGAATAAAGTTGAGTATCTTCAGAGTTGCCAAAGCATAATTTTTGTATACACATTTAACAAGGTCAAATAATGAGAATGTACTTTGAAGACGGAAGTTGTACTTTCGTAGGAACTTACCAGAAAAAAAAATTAAGTAGAATACAAGTGCATACTAACAGAATGTACCTCAAGGAACGTACTAGTTTTCTAAACTTCTTTCAAGTAGTGTTTGAAGTACTTTATGGATTCCTTTGCTGCTACCCGTCTCAGTTAATGACAACGCGCTGGTTCAACAACATTCATTTATTCCCCGTTATCGTCCACACCGCTATTTCAAGAGCCCCCGCGCATACGCTGCGAGGCCCTTTCAATAAAAAACGCAGCTCAGCTCCCGCGTCCAATAACACTTGAACCCCTTGCGGTGACAATCATTATGGACGATTTGGAATGCGGGCACCCGGTCTAACGCTTTTGATCTCCAGGTGGCCAACACATGTCCCCCCTACTGAAATACGAATAGGGACTTTCTTAGGAGGTCTTGGCGTGGCCTTTTTTCTGGGTAAACAGGGGTCGCTACAGATGAACGAGAGCCGGTCCGACGTCAGTACTTTCGGACGGTACCGATGCGGCTGTGCTGGGACTGGTGATGGGAGCTGCATCGCCGCCACTACATCTTTGCCGCGAGGCTCTAGAAGTTAAAAGGAAAATGAGGCCATGGCGCCACAGGAATAAACGGTCACGCCTGTGAACGACGCCTACCCAACTACAGTACGGGAGCAACTACCGTACGCGATCCCTATAAACCGAAAGGGCATGAATAAAATGCACTTAGGGCAGGTTCTCTTCCCTTCATCGTTTTCACAGCCGTCGCAGGTTGTATCTTGGCAGAGACGGTGTGGAAACTTCCTACAGGTGGCCAGGATTGCTGCCATCTGGAACCTACGACACACCTACCTCATCTGGACTATACACTGTTAGAAAAAAATCAACACGCCCAGGCGTGTAAACCGTTCACCCGTAGCGGACACGCCCAAACGTGTTCTTTTTACACGCCAGGCTGGGCGTACTCTGTTTACACGCGAGGTCTCGTGTAAAATGAACATCTTCGAACGTGTATTTCGTACCGCGGTCACGCGTCTAAGCTTGTTTTTTTATATATTTTTCTTCTGGCGATGGTTGCCTAACTTTAAAATCGCGGCCGCTTGACGTGAAGCACGACACAGGAGGCTATAACAGGGTCTACGAGTGCCTTACAGAGCTTTCCACGGCTTTTCGCCGTCGTAAAAGCGTAGTTTTCATGTGCCCATTCGTAGTCTTCTAAACGCGCTAAACCACCGCAGTCATCCACCCAAAATTGACGATACTGTATCCAAACGGCGAATAGGCGACACCGGGAGCGGCTGCATCCAGCCGCGTCTTTTCTGTCGATCAGGTCCCGTTCGCGTAGCGGTTCCGCGTACCTCGGGAGCCTCATGATGGTTTCACAGAGACCGGATTACTTTCACAAAATGCATCTTTTCGCGACCATAGGCATGAAAGCTTTATTGGCCTCTGTTTGCCGTGCGCCGCGAAGAATCGCTCCCTCACCGACCTCGCTTTCGACGCCCCGCTCACCTCTTTACCGGGTGTTGGGCGCAACGTTTAGGCGTATCTGCTTATATCTCGCGTGTACGCAAATTTCACGGGTTTCTGCGTAGAAAACGGGTACTCAAAATCCGGCGAAAGAACCGCGGCTGCATTAGGACCACAGCAGCACCATTTTATTACGCAGTTACTTTCCTACTATATAGTTACAGTAGTTATAGTTCCTCACACATAAGGGGACTTGAACGCAATGCTAAAATAAAATTGGGCGGCTGCTCGCTCCAGTGTTCTGAAAACTACAAAAATAAAAAGTAGGTGTGTACTTTCAGAAACATCACGCAATACGCTCCAGGAGCTGCCACACAACATATCAATATACAATCCTAACAACGCATAGAAGTACGAACTAGCCGACAATCCTACATAACACCAACCGTGACCCGTTCCTTCTATATAGCAGATTTTGTTATTTACACGAGGGGCCGGTGACCCCAGCCGTATTTTACATGAATGCAGCGACACTTCTCAATTATTACTTATATAACACAGTGGTTTAAATTTGGTTCAAGAAGGTACTCATTTCTTTTAGTCTCTATCCTTGCCAAAACCAACCATATCTTTTTTTTTTTTTAATGTTTCGAGCTGGCCAAAATGCAGTAAACTTTCAGTTTTTTTTTTCTTTTTTTTTAGGAATTTGAGTGTTCTTCGCGTGAAAACGCTGTCGACTTTGTCAGATCTATTGGCTGCAGCCCCCGTCTGGGTTTGGCGTTTGATTTACACGCGCTCTCGTTATGTTAGGCGATCGCTATCCTTGACCGCGAAGTACTCACGCTAGCGCCGACTTGCATTTCCGGAATTAACGTAATCCGGTCGTGGACCGGTCCAGTTAAACTAACCATTGAGCCCGCTAAGCGAACGATAAGGATATTCAAATATGTCAACAATGGCCTGTCTTCGCAAAAAAGAAATGTATCTCTCCAGATTCTCTAGGTTGATATCGGGACTTGTTATTTGTTCAGTTGTCACCTTGAATCCAGACGCTTTATGGTAATAAAAAAAAAAAAAAAGAAGGCAAATTTTTTTTTTTTTTTTATCAAAGATAAAAGCACTTTGTCTACCCCCTGTTAGCACGAAAGCGCTAGCATTTCATATAAACAATTTGGAAAGTTCAGAGTAAGCTCAATGTAACCGGTGACTTCATTTTTTTAGTTTAATAAAAATTAAATCTTTGCAAAAAATTTATTTTTTGAAGTTTGTTTTAAACTAACAACTGAAAAGGAAGTCTTCATTTGCACTACCACGTAAATGCTTTCGAAAAAAAAAGAACGATTTATTTGCGATCTCGAACTTGCTTCTTTCCACTTTTGACAGTTACTATATGCTTACTTGCAAATTGTATCCCAATAAAATTTTAACGCAATTGCATTAAAAATAACAACCTGTACCCAATTACTAGTTTAATTAAATTCCTATTTGTTTGATAGAGCTTCATTTTAAGCATGAAAGATTGAAATTTGACATTTATTACTACAGGTGAGCACTAAACTCTGGAAGACAAAGATGAAACACACAACAATGCAAAAAGGCATTTAATATATTTAACAGATACACATATGGGCCTGTGGTGGTCTATCTGTTCAGTGTCGGCACCGTCAAAAACGAGTGTTGCAAAACACTTACATGAACTATATCGTAATGACTGCAGTGATTAAAAGCAAGCTATTTATTCGTCGGAACGAGCTCGACGATACGGGAAGAAACAGAACGTTTTCACAGCTAAACTCGGAGTTGGTCACACCATCTCTTCCATCCTCGACGTCGAATGCGATACAAATTGTAACCCCGACATGATGATCGACTCCGAGCGCCAGTCATCCAATTGAACGTTCATCGCTGCCCGGGGCATGGCAACGGCTCGGCCTTTCTGGGCGAAAATGGAGTAGGCGGATCTTCCACTTTCAAAGCCTCCGCACCCACAGCGCCTCCGTCAACTCCTCTGTCCCGTTGCATCTAGCACCGGAATCTCCTAGCAATGTGCTGCTACCAAATCGCTCGCCCCTCCGGCTCCACAAGTGAACATTCATCGACGTTACTGAACTGTTCACAAAAAGGCACCTCGCTAGGTGACAAGGGTCTCGTTGTTGCTACGTCAGGCATTCGCTTTCCGCTCGGTTCCTCTTCTTCCGGAATGTTGCATCGGCACTGCTGTCGGCCGGCATCCCTCCTTGAGTCCGAGGCTGCACACATCGTGCTGACCGAGCCGGACCCACAGAAGGACCGGGTCGATTTCCCCCATGTCCTCCGCCTCATTGCCCGACCTCAGCGTCAACTACCCTGAACGTCTTCCGAAAGCCGTTTTTCCTGCTCTATACTTCGCCGCCCTGCTCGCAGTACATGAACGCCTTTCTGGAGGCGCAACCACTGCAAACCGAATCGTGCCGTCCCCCGCAGTCTGCAGAGCAGCAGCCGACGGCTCTAGGAGGGGAGCTCTGTGGCATTCTATTGCTTCAGCCACGGCACCGCCAAAGATAACAAAGCTACTCATGCCCGTCGGCACGAGCTCGACGGCACAAGTCTACACGCGTTTCACTGCTCGTACTCCGTTGCACCATCTCTTCTATCCTCAAGGTCGTACCTGCTAGACACATTCCAGGTGAAAAGATCAAATGCTCAGATCAGACATGCCACGGATGTCTAAAATTGTCCATCGTGACGAATGTTCTTTTTTTTCATTCTAACTGAAGACAAAGGTAATGATTGCGTGATTAAAATGAATATTTCCTAAACACCCAGTTCCCAGGGTATGTGCTCACGGCCGATCCACGATTGTGTGATATACTTATTTAAAAGCACACCGAGGATGCCACCTGCAGGATTGGCAGCAATACCGAGATTACAATGCTTGTTACCCTCTTAACGCAGAAGGATTGTCCGTTATGAAAGACGCAAAAAGAAAGAATAACGGAAACAACATAAAGTAAAAATCTGCACAACAGGCTTCCAGTTCCGACAGTGGGTGTGGCAACCTACGCGACATGCTCAAACCACTTTTCATCGTACAGATTTCTCTGTTGATCGGGACACGGCCACCCAGCCAGCGTAAAGGGACAGGCATCAGATGGACGGACGCCTCGATCACCGCAGACTCGGCTGATGGCTCACGCTTCCATGGCGAGGTGTTTTCTGCAAAGTCAGTCCAATAGCCATTGCCGCCGCTCTCATGAGTCTCCAGCGAAGCTGTAATCGGCGACCAGGGCGTCGCCAACCGGCCAACAGCAGCAACGTCCTCCGTGAAACCTATACCAACGGCGCCGAAACCGGAACAGTTCAGTGGGCGTGGCAGCATACGCGACAACGTGCTCAAACCACTTTTTATCGTACAGGTTAGAGGCGAACGTTATAAAAGGTTGAGAAGTAACAATTAGTTCTCAGTGTACTGCCGGACCCACAGCGGCTACTGTGTATTTTCGCTGGTGCTTTGATTTGTGTTACCTCCTCTTACTCTCCAGAGGTATTGAAAGTAATCCAAGCCCAGATACGGAAGAAACCCTACAAAAACTGTCGGTAGGTCAAAATAAGATACTCTAGGCAATTAAGGAAATCAAATCCAGCCAAAGAAATGTCGAAGAAAGAATACGTGCTATTGAAAAAGCCGTTGGATCATTCAAGAGCGTCACAAAAAATGTTGACGTTTTTTTTTAGTACTTCGCTCACATTAAAACAAACAGTTTCTTCGCTCGGGAAGAAAGTTGATGACCTAGAAAACCGAATACGCAGAAACAATTTAATATTTTTTGGAATTCCTGAAAATCCCAACTAAACTAAGTGGGACTTCGAAAAAGTTATCATATCGGAGATTCTTCGAGACGAACTAGGCATAGTAGATGTTGCGGTGGAGAGGATTCATGGGATCGGAGGACCGACTAAGGGCAAATCAAGGCCTGTAATATTGAAACTCTTTGACTTTAATGTAAAAGAAAACATCCTGAGAAATGCGCGGAAACTTAATGGAACCAAAATATCAATATCCGAAGACTTTTCGATTCATATCAGACAAAAAGGAAGCTTCTCTGGAACAGTGCTAAAGAAAACCGTGACAAAGGCTAAGATTCGATAAGTTGATAGCTGGCAGTTCCTGCTATCAGTGGGATCCCGAGAAAAACGCCCGTATTCTGATTAACACGAGGTAACGAGACGAAAGACACGCGCAATCTACCAACGAATGACAACAGTGTTTGAGATCCCGTTCGTTCACTCTTATCAATGTAAACGCCAGAAGTGTAGTACATAAAACTGATGACCTAGAACACATATTTGTGTCCGATGTTTCTGATATATTTGTCGTAACAGAAACATGGTTTCATGCTAAAATTTCCGATAACAAAATCATTCCACCAGCACATCACATTTTACGAAAAGACAGGGATACAAGAGGGGGAGGTGTGGCAATAGTTCCTAAAAAGGATATCGATGCAACATTATTTCACTATGCCTTAAACATCGAATCGGTCTGGGTCAAGCTTATTATTTATAATGTTCCGATTCTCCTCGGGGTGATCTACCGACCACCAACTGCTTCTGAAAGCGTAGTGGAAAAACTATACAACTTCGTAAATCTGCAAAGACAACGTTCTTCTTGTTTTTTTTTGTTTTTTTTAATTGTAATTGCAGGTGATTGCAACTTTCCAAACATCAACTGGCAAAATTTAACACCTTTGAACTTTAAGGGCAAGCACCTAGAACTTTTCATTAATATGGCGTCTGATAATGATTTGACGCAAATCGTTACATGTCCCATAATAACTTCAAGTACAACCAATAATAGCCTTGATCTCGTATTTATATCTGGAGAGTTAATGAGTAAAGCGTTCACTTGCCAGGTTAGAGAAGGGACATCTTATCACCATCTGGTTTGGTGTGAATCTGTCGGAGAACTTCATACTAAAAAAACCGACCGATTAGTTAAAGTGCCTGACTACACTAGAGCACTAGACGAAAGTGTTTTAGATCACCTCGGATTATCATTTGACCGCTTATGTGAACAAAGTGAACGTGCATTAGATATTGCCGATTTCTGACTGTCATTTCAGAATTCCGTTATACCGACACGTTGCAAACGAATACAGAAAAGTAATCCTTAGATCACTCGTGAGGTTTTGCATCTCAAACGTAAAATAAACAGAATTAGAATTCAAAATCAAAGAACAGACAAACGTAGTATAACACAACTTTGAAAGAAATTAATGTCAATGACTCAGAAGTCAGAACGATATTTCCATAATGAGACATTAGATAAATTTTTGCTGTCTGATCCTATTATAATTTAGTTTAGTAGTTTACAACAACTGGGCAGAAGTAGAGCGAGCTCTCGGAAGCCATGTTGCCTTGGGTTAGGCAAGTTATCTGATTATAAGAAAGAAAAAACTCTGAGCAGATATAATCTATTTCAATACTTTTCCTGTGGTACATAGTAATAATATTTTATAATACTTCGTCACCAGCCGTCTGGCTACGGCTTTAAAAATGGAGATAACTTTGACATACTTCCACTCGGTCGACTCTGGTAATTTCAAGAAACTTCCCAAAAAATATTGCAAGATATTTGGCACACCACTGCGTCACGGCGCAATAAATCGTTTGGAATATTATCGATACCGGTAGATATTTTATCGTCGAGTTTAAACAACATGGAAAAAAATTCCTCCACAGAGAATGATTAGTCATCTAAAAGCGGTGTGTTCACGGGCAAGTCGCATTTAGGGCGAATGCAGTTGTCTAGTACGAAAGTTGATATGAAAAAGTCGTTGAAACAGTTTGCCAGCGTGTTCGATCAGCGTCTAAGCGTGTTCGCCGTGCCGACAAGACATCGGAAAAGAAATATCAGCATTTGACTAGAGGCGGAGAATCAAGGTGAGCTCCATTGGTGACACTCGGGTCCGAGTCAGGGAACAAGCTTCGTCTAACTTTCAGTGGCCGAATATGAACTTCATAGAAGAAGCCTCAAAATGTCATCGCAATTCTTCGTATAGACGGCAGAGATGCATCGCAAAACCGCTACCCATTATTTTTTTTTTTTTTGCAATTAAAGCGAACTGGTGTAGCAAAGAGCGATCGTTAGTAGAAAAAAAGATTGATGTTTTCACAGGTCCAGGGGCCCCCGTCCTCTCTACGCCTCCACAACTTCCCCTCCCCCCTTTCTTAAAAAACCAACCACGGAGCTTCCCCATTAGTTTGATATCTTCGTTAATTATAACATAGTATAATAAGCTGATTAGTTAAACTTAGGTATACTTGAAGAATGCGCCAACCACACAAAGCCCTACAAGACCCAAACTTGGTGTGCCCTTTCTGCGTAACCTAATAATCATAATTCTCCTACATAGTTCCCCACGCATCTTCATCAAACCAAAAGATTACACTTGTTAACAGATCCCTATCCTTCGCGCAAGGTTAAATGGACTTGGCGAGAGCTTCAGCAATGCACATAATAGACTGGATCTCCTTGATGCCGTAGTTGTGGATTTTCTGCGTTCGGAGTATAGAGAATGGACGCGACTGCCATCCGAATGCTACGTGGCCCGTGCTGCCTCCTGGAGACCAGCACGGGTCACACTTGCGAGAAAGAGCCGTGGCAGGAACGGCTCGCACGCTGTCTTCCTGACCCTGTTCTTGGCCAGACGGACGCCGGGGAATCCCGGACAGTTATCCGCAGTACGCTTCGAAAGAAAGGAAACGAAATTTCCCCGAGAAGCCGTGGTCCTGAGGCCTCTCCGGTGCTTGGCCGACGGCGGCGGCCGACGCGACGACGCTCCAGCGAGTGCCCCACTGTTTCGGGGGAAAACCCGACCGGAATCTCCCAATTAAACACCTCTTCGAGGCCGGTCCCGGACGCGCGCTGTGTTCTAGTTCTATCGAGGCATGACTGTCTCCGTGGAGCCCTGAGCACATCCTGATATTAAGAAATCTGATTAGTAAGGTTCGAGACTTCTCGATCTCCCGATGTCGACTGGAGGAGGGGGCCTCTACTGTTCGCGGAAGAGTTGTCGCAACCCAGCGGCACAGACGCTGCGTTTCAAAACAGGGAGCCCTCGCCTATCGAGAGGCGCAGCGCGATATTCACCGGTCTGGTGGTGAAAATGTGAAATAAAGTAGCAGGAATTATACTCACTGCGTTCAAGCTGCACAGCCTGTGTCCAAGCCTCACCACTTACGCTGTAAGACAAAATGTTTGTAAGAAAAACAAAATTTCCGTAAAACTTTGTGTTCTGTTTTGTAATTTTACTTCCTATTGACAAATTTTGACCACTTACAAATTTATGTAAAACAATACGTTTTGTAAAAGTAATTAGCGTAAAAGCCTAGGAACAGAAATGTTTCTGTTTTGTTCAGGTTGTTTCGTTAACTCGTTTACACCCGAGGCGTAAAGCTTAAGGGGTGTGATTGCTTTTTCACAATTGAACGATTCAATACTCAAAAGCTGAACAAGGCTTACTCAAAAGCTGGCCACTCTGCTGATATGTAGCTATGACATTTGTGCTAATAAGCACTAAAATTGAGTAAAGTACCTGTGGTTTAGCAAAGTTTCATGTGCCTGCCTGTATTTGCGAGCACGAAGAAGACACCCCAAAAACGTTTTGGCTAGAGGCACGTGCTAAATAGACATTGTGATACACCGAACGGAACCGAATCACTCTGAGGATCAACCCCTGGCACCCGCGAATGTACAAGATTTTGATTCGAATCCCGCACCCGGCAAGAGCACACTTTATTCGGCGGAGTAGAAAGGCATTTCATAAAAATACTTTCCTTTACAACTTGAAAGTGCTTAAAAAGTGGGTCAACATTTGCGTGGCGTCTGGTGATCACAGGGGGTCGGTATTAAAGCATTAATGAAATAAATTGTGTAGCTTAGTTTGAGAAGCTGCTTGTCCACTTTTACTTTCTTCCAGTCTTTAGATTTAAACATCATGGTTATACGTACGAGCTCCTCTTCACTTTTACCATAATTTTGCTGACCGTACCAGATGAAGGTTGAATTTATAATAATAATAATAATAACACTTCATTTAGACTTATTGAGTCTCGGCTGGAGGAGCAAAAGTCGAACTAACGACACCAGACGATGCTTCACCAGTCGTGTCATCGTTCAGTACGTACAGCACTTAAACTTCTAACTTCTTCTAACTTCTTCTAACACTAAAACTTCGATTATTTTTACTAATATACGGAGGGTCATAAAAAATCGTGACGCACTTAATGTCGTTTTATAATCATCATCTGCTGATTTAGCCATTCTCACAGAAAAGTGGCTCTCTGAAAGCAAAATTGTTTCGTGTTGTAAGCGTTTCAATGTGTATAGCTATGAGAGGGAATTCAGATCCGGTGGAGGTGTGTTAATTGCTGTATCTGAGAATATGACATCTTTCTCTGTGAACATTTTAACTAATCTTGAGTTTCCCTGTGCATGCGTTAGTACAAGACATAAACGTATTGTTTTTTGTGTTTGTTATAGACCGCCGAATTATTCTGCTACATTCCCCAATGAGCTACACGACGTTCTTAATTTGATTTTAACCAGGTTTCCTAACTCTCCCGTCTTTCTCTTGGGAGATTTGAACTATCCTAGTATTATGTGGACTGGAGTGTGTCCCTCTGATGCCTCCGATTTCTCAGAAAGTCTCGATTTTCTAAATGTATGCGTTGATTTCAACTTAGCTCAGCTTGCCACAAAGCCTACACGTGTTACAGCCACAACTGTTAGTTTGCTCGCCCTTGTATTAACTTCCTCACCCGATCTTGTTTCTGAAAATTCTAATCTTCCTGAGCTCAGCGATCATTGTACGTTACACATCACGTTAAATTTACTTGTAGTTACCTCCCTCGAAAGGAACCAAATTCATTCGAGATTATAAGAAAGCGGATTTTGACGCCATTAACAACGAACTCGCTCTCTTTGTGGATGGCTACATCGATTCTTTTTCACAACGATCAGTTCAAGAAAATTTGAACCTTTTTAAAAACATTGTTAAATCACTCACGGATACATACATTCTGCTTCGATCGATAACGTCCCACACTAATTCTCCTTGGTTCAATGTCCAACTCAAGCGGCTTTCCAATAAGAAAAAACGTTTGTTTAGGGCCGCTAAGTCCTCTAACAAACCGGATCGCTGGTCAGCCTATCACGACGCTCTTGTGGAGCACAAATCTGCTGTTCAAAGCGCCGAACATTCTTTCTTTAATATCACCTTGCCGACATTACTAGCCACTAGCCCTAAACAATTTTGGAAGACTGTTAACAGTAAAGACAAGTCATCTATTTCCCTTTTTGTTGACGGTTGTGCGATCCCCAGTGATGTTTGTGCAGAGATCCTCAACAATGTTTTTGCTGACTCATTTTCAAGTTTTGTTAATCCGCCATCTTGGTTATTACAGGAATATAATTTTATACCTATGGACCCCATCATAATTGACCCCACTGGTATTGTTAAACTAATAGAAAATTTAAAACTGACTTCTTCAGCTGGTCCTGATAATATTAACTCAAAGTTCTCAAAAAACTTAATTATGTATTCATCTATTATATTTTCTACACTATTTTCTTAGTCGCTTGAACTTGGCATTTTAAATGACGACTGGGAGGTAGCCATGGCGATTCCATTGCACAAAGGAGGTGATAAGCATTCCCCCCTTATCTATCGTCCAATCTCGCTTATCAGCATACCATGTAAATTACTAGAGCATATAATATACTCCCGCCTGGTTCATTTCCTGCAATCAAATTCTTTCTTTAACAAGGGCCAACATGGTTTTCCGCAAATTTCATTCTTGTAAACGCAGAATTTTTCATTTACTAACGATCTTCATTCTATCCTTGATTGTGGGTCTCAAGTTGACTCTGTTTTTCTAGATTTTAGCAGGGCTTTTGATAAAGTTCCTCACCAATTGCTTCTATTAAAACTTAACAAATTAAGTATTGATCTTAACGTAGTTGCCTGGATAACCAGTTTTCTAACTAACCGATATCGGTTTGTTACTGCTAATGAGAACACGTCTCCCCTCTCTTCCGTCACATCTGGTGTTACTCAAGGATCCGTATTAGGCCCTCTACTGTTTCTCATTTACTTCAATGACCTACCTAATTGCGTCTCATCATTAATTAATTTTCTCGCTGACGACTGTGTAATATATACTAAATCTACTAACGACTCCGATGTTTTAAAGCGCCAGAAAGATATCAATGCTGTTTACCACTGGTGTGAACTTTGGAATATGGAACTTAACATTACTAAATGTAAAGTCATGAGAATTTCACGTACTAGTCCTAATGTGCCCTTCTACCATCTCAACAACGTCCCTTTGGCACCTGTTTCTTCTTACAAATATTTGGGTGTTCACCTTACTTGTAACCTCTCATGGAAACTGCATGTTGAATACGTCATCAATAACGCTAACTGCATGCTAGGTTACCTGAAAAGAAACTTTGCTCTCGCACCGTCAGCCTTAAAATTAACACTGTATAAATCTCTCGTTCGCTCCAATTTAGAGTATGCTTCTTTTATCTGGGACCCCAGTCAGTCTAATCTAACTATTGTTCTGAAAGCGGTCCAAAACCGGTCTGCCCGTTTTATTCTAGGTAACTATCACCGCACTGCCAGTGTTAGCTCCATGAAAATCACCTTGTCTCTGCCTAACCTCTCTCTCCGACGAAAAGTTGCTCGTTTGTGTCTTTTTCACAAGATCTATTATGCTAACCCGTACTTAAAGCAACGTCTTTTCATCCCACCGTTCTACGTTCCACCTCGCATCGATCATCACCTCCTAAGTTGGAATTTGTAAATGTAACACCAACGAATTTCTAGTATCTTTCGTCCCTAAAACTTCTTTGGAATGGAATCACCTTCCGACTTCCGTAATTTACATTATTGATAGCCAAATGTTTAAAAATGCTATAAACACTCTTTTACTGTCTTGAGATGCCATGATACCTTATGCACTCTGCCCCTTTGTTTCTTTTTGTGTGTTATTTGGTTACTTCCACTCCCCTCTTTAATGCCGATTGGCCTTGAGGGTATTTAAACAAACAAATAAATAAATAAATAAACACTATTCCATGTGCACAAAAATACAATCACACCCAACACAGTAAATTAACACTAAACCAGCAAAAAGTAATTATTTACATTATTTCTAAAAATATAAATACGTATAGGATTTAAAACCATTTCATCTATTTCTTCAAAAATTAGTTCGAAAATTCAGTCATAGCTGGTTAGTGTGTATGGTTTGACAAAATGTTGAATTCCGAGATTGTATTGTGCTGATTAACGTTACAGCGCACCACAAAAGAAACACTCACAAACACAGACACACCAAATAAATATATACTCACTCGGCGCTGACTCACAACTCTTGGTTTGTATTGTCTTCTTCTTCCATGCAGAAAGACAATCTATTCTTTCGCTATGTTCTAATAACGAGATGAGAACATCAAATGCAATTGCAAAAATAAAAAATAAGAAAATTAGAAAAATAAAAAACACAATAATCAAAACAAAATTTTATTAAAAAATAAAGAATTCTCAATACTGGTGCCTAAGAGATCTTTCGGTCAAATAATTTAGCTCCCTGTGTGCGAGAGTTAAAGATGGCCTGCTGACACGCTTGTCAATGTGTCCTTCGACATTTGCTGCCTCATTAATCTCCCTGATGAGCGTCCCAGTACAGTGCAGTTGCTCAAAAGCGCCGAACACCCACAGTCACTACAGTGGAGTCCCAAATGTCCAGAGTTGGCGCTGACGATGTTATTGGGATGCTCCCGAAGGTGGTTACTCCGACACCGACCAGTCTGCCTTACGTACACACCCCCACAAGAAAGGGGGAAGGAATAAATTTTCAAATTCAAATTCAAATTCGTTTATTTTTGCCACAAACGGTACATTTGTGACAGGGGCGCTGGAAAAAAAGCTGCAGGTCTGCAGCTTGACGAGTCCCAGCGCCCCAGAACAATGTAAGAGCGGCACCGGCACATACAGTCAAAAAGAACGAATATGTGCACACATACATAGGCATACACATATACAGAGGATAAACACGAGAAAAACAAAGAATTCAACTTCGCAATCAACAGTATACAAAAAAGTGGTGGTTACTTATTATAAAGCTTCTTGAATGGAACAATGACTAATGGAGTGCATTTCAATATCACGGGAAAACAGGGTGTTTTAAAAAAGTGGTAACTGGTGGCGATATCTTTGTAGACCAAAATTTGTCCTTGAAAAGGGAATACGCCAGGGGGGCCTACGTCGCGATGGATATACAGACTCGTTTGCTTCTAGATTACCAAGATCTAAAGAAATGACATTAGTTTTTCTTACGGATGGTTGATAATTAGCTATCAGTCTATGTGCATACAAATTGGTTATATCAATGACTTTATGTTTTTCAAAAAGAGGAAGGGAATGATAGTCACGGGGAACATTTTCGATTATCCTGAGTGCCTTTTTCTGTAATAGGCGTAATTTGTTAATGTTGCCCTTTGTAGTCGAACCCCATACCAGGTGGGAGTAGCAGAGCACAGGGTAAAACAGAGCATTGTAAATTAGTTTTTTAACATTTAAAGGAAGTATGTGCCTGAATTTATTCAGTATTCCGACAACTTTGCATAGCTTTTTATGAATATAGGCAACATGATTATTCCAGGACATGTGAGAAGAAAATATTACTCCCAACGTCTTTATACTATCGACGCACTCTATCGCACAATCCCCCAAAAACAAATCGCGCGACAACCTAATGCGTGGTCCTGGACACTGAAATAAAACTGCCTTTGTTTTGGATGTGTTAATAACAAGGGAATTCATAACTACCCACGATTTTAATTTATTTAAAAATAATTCGCTTTGAAAGTGAGCACCCCTTCCCTAGAATCAGAAAAAAATATGCTGGTGTCATCCGCGTATATAATAAACTTAGCAGACGTGTCAATATTTACAATATCATTAACATAAGTGATAAACAATAATGGGCCTAGAATACTTCCCTGAGGGACCCCGGAACTAATGCGTTGCATAGAAGATCTGTTATTATTAATTTGAACGTATTGGGAACGGTACTGTAAATAGGACGAAATGAGTGCTAATGGAACTCCTCGAATACCATAACAATCTAGTTTATCAAGAAGAGTTCTGTGATTTATCCGGTCAAATGCTTTGCTGAAATCTACAAAGATCCCCAACGTTAAAAGTTTACTCTCGAAATTTTCTAATATTGTCTCTTTTTGTACTAATATAGCAGTTTCTGTAGACCTACACCTTTTGAAACCGAATTGCGAGTCCGTCAACACAGAATATTTTTCAAAAAAGGTTAATAGTCTAGAATATATTATTTTTTCTATTGGTTTCGAAAATACAGGAAGAATCGATATGGGGCGATAATTACTCATGCCATTTTTATCCCCGCCCTTATAGAGGACAGAAACTTTAGCAACTTGCATGTTTTTAGGAAATACACTAGATGATAACATGAGATTATACAAATGAGTTATGCATGGTAATATCAAATCTAGTACAAATTTAACAGGTTTGATTAAGAGGTCATCACAATCACGACTACGGCTATTTTTCATATTCATAAACACCGAGGATACTTCTGCAGTATCTGTGGGATTCAAAAACATAGTTTCGCTAGTGCGGGAGACGTTATCTTTGGCATTACTATTGTAAGTGCTATTCCCGACACTCACAAAGTAATCATTGAATTTATCTGCAAGTTCACTACCGGAAATAATTTCATTGTTTATAGTCATGTTTACGATGGCTGTAGCTTTAGATTGGCTACGCAGAAGAGAATGCAGTTGCTTCCAGACTATATCGGGCTGCCCTAAACAGGATGAGTCGAATTTAGCCGCGTAATAAAGCTGTTTAGCTTGTCTTAATTGAGCGTTAACAAAATTTCTGAACTTTTTGAATTCGCGTAATTTTTCTTCGTCTCGTGTTTTCACAAAAGAGTCATAAAGTACGTTTTTCTTTTTAATGAGTTTCAAAAGGTGACCATTTACCCACGGCTTCCTAGCTTTCTTGTTTCGACGGATGCATTTGATTGGAAATGAAGTGGAATAAGCATTTTTGAAAGTACTTATAAAAAAATCGTAGCACTCATCAGCATCTGTAGAATTAAACATATGACTCCAGTCTATAGTGCTGATTGTTTCTCTACATTCTTCCAGTGTCCTAGAACTTGTGTCTTGAGATATTGTTGAAAAGTTTGAAACTGCGCTATCTGATATATTCTTATTGATAAACATGATTATTGGAAGGTGATCGCTGATCCCATTACTAAGCACGCCAGCACTAATAATATTTTCATCATGATTAGTTAGAAATAGATCAAACAATGTCGATGTGGTGCATGTGACGCGTGTTGGAGGGATAATTACGTTGGAAAAATTGTTTGAAGTCAATAAACCAACAAAATCATCTTTAATATGAGAATCTTCAAGCATATTTATATTAAAATCACCACCCAGAAACAAGAGGCACCTCTCTTGATTAGCAAAGCAAAACAACGCTTCTAAAAATTGCATGAAACTCAAAACATTACCATTTAGAGGACGATATAAAACAGAGTAAATGTGATTTCCTTTTTTAACACAAAGTATTTCATAATCTCGGGTCACAATAGAATAATCACTGAGTATTTCAAAACCAGAGGCACGAGTTTGCAATGAAACGCCACCCCCGCGACTATGTCTGCGGTTTAAAAAGAAATGAGTGTAGCCTGGAAGAACAAAAAAATTAGCATCATCCCTATACCACGTTTCAGTCATCATGACAACATCAAAAGAAGTTTGGATTGAGTCAAAAAACAATGCAAGATCATCCTCTTTTAATCTGGCGGGTTGCACATTTAAATGAAATAAACTCAACGATCTAGTTGTCTGTTTTTGTAGGAAGGTATTTAGACACTCTACCGTCAGAACACCTAAATTTTGAACCATGGTAGTAAAAAGGGAAAAATAGAAAGAGACACGTCAGCTGTATTTAGCGGATCTTATCAAGATCTCCAGAGTCAGAAATAGTAATGACAGGGGTCCCATCCGCCTTCCTTGCAAATATTTTAGAGTTACGTACCCAAACGTATCGCCACTAATGCTCACGCTTCCTTGAGACCGCCATCCCTAGCAACTTTTTCAGGGCGGGGCACAAGTGTTCATTTACATAGATAGGCGATGTTTCAGGCAGTCCAAAGTCTTAGCAAGTAATTCTTTTTTTCTTTGCCTTGTCGAGAACAGAGTCTCGTTTTTGTCGCCGCTGAAATTGCACTATCACGTTGCTCTTTGTCGGATCTCTCGTGGGAACACGATGACATGCTTCTATATCAGAAAGGGCGATCTGCTCTCCGATGAGGTCACCAAGTTTAAATACCAGATCAGTCACGTTATCAGTTTCGGTTTTAAATATTCCTTTGACCTCGATGTTGTGGCGTCGCGAATACTGCTCGCACTGAACAAGTCTGAGTTCATTTTCTTTCAGTAGTTCGGCCATCACGACACATTTTTGCGTGAGTTCAGCATTTTCTTTTTTGAGAACGGCGTTCTCCTTAAGAGAGACTGGAGCTTCAGCTTAATTTCCTCGAACTCCTCGTTCATGAAATTCATCCCATCGCTTATGCTTTTTAGCTCAGTGTTTATCTCACGGAGATCAGTTCTGAAATCCCTCTCTAGTGCCTCTTTCATCGATCTAAATTCTTTCTTTAGCTCATCTTTTAGTTCATTTACCAACTTAGTCATATCCTTAGACATTTAAAAAAAAAACATACAATGGAAACGCAATGGACTTCATCCAAAACCGACGCGCCCCATCGCGGCGAAATACCACGCAGTGCACTCTGGGAACTAGTTGGCCACTCAGTTTCGGTTTCGACTGAGCAGCTTCATCTCATGCTATTCGCCGCGACCGAACGCGCTGCTTGCGTTTTCGATTATCTGACTTTTCACGAACGTACAATACACTCATTCTCGAGCGATACAAAACGAAGACCGGGGCACTTTCCTTGCTCTCCGAAACACCGGATATTGTGCGTGCGTATGCGAACGTAGTAAGTCGTGGCTTAGTCACCTCACCCCACGAGTGCATCTTTGAGCTCAATGTCAGTAATCCCGTCTAGTACCAGTGAACTACAACTGAAATTTGTTCGTCTGGAGCCTTACACGCATTTTGTTTGCCAAACGTCCACTTCTCGTTACTTCATTGGGCGAAAAGCAAGCCGCATCCTCACAGGGTATCAAAGTTGCGGCCAGCGTTTACGCATGAACTTTTAAGGAAACGCAATAAATTCGACCTCACTACTGCAGAAAAGTTACTATGATGTCTTCCTCGTGTCATCATATATCTCCCACTAGAACTTTATGCTGATAGAAGATTAACTTTTCGCAAACGCTGAGATCGGCTAGCTACGACTGAGGCCCTAACAAGCGTCCCCTACTCCTCGCTAAGCCTTTTTGGACGAGCTTTTACTGACGCCCGAGATCTGTGCCGGGAACGGTGTGTCTGAAATTACCTTGGCATACTCAGTCAGGAAGAAAGCAAACACATAACAAATATTTTGGCCATTAGCAGCCGTCAAATGCGCTTTGAATTCGTTCGAGCACTTGTCTGAAGAATGTCGCACCGTGCGCCGGACGGGCATGCATGAACCCCAATGCGGTGCGCATAGGGGTTCTTGCCCGTCTGACGCACTACCGGCGAATGGTGCGTCATTCTTCACACAAGAGCTCGACTTTTGCATTCTTAAAACGGCCTGTATGCGCGAATTTGCCTATATGATTGCAGGATAACTTTATGCGCATACGCGATGTTGAATATTAGTGGAATGCAAGTGGGTGGGGACTTCACTTCGTGCAGTGCTGCGGGTCAGTACAGTTAAGAGATAAGTGTGTTAAAATTGAGTTTTCAATGGCACCTCCGAGTTTTACCTCGCGTACTAAGGCACATTAAGAAAAACAGTAATTGCAAAAAGTAATATTTCGTCTATGGACGCACGAAGCAAACTTCCTGATCAACAACACTAATGTAAAGGCGCGAGCTCGATGTATGCATACCTATTGGTTGCTACATCTTGTTGATTCGTACACAAGCAAGATCCCCGAGCATCCGAGCTTCGCAGCGTCGAGACTCCCAGCACTGGCTCGTCCACATACCTCGATTGGAACGCTAACAGGAAGGCTCAAGTACAAAAATACAACAAGCATGTGTTAAGACAAGCTATACGTCTCGGGATATTGCTAAAGCTTCGAGGTATGACCATTTAGGTTAGTTTAGAGACCACAAATGACGCTCTCGGGACCAGAAAACAATCTCTTGTCGACGTGTCGATCGAAACCGAAACCATGCCACCCTCCTCCCTGGCCAACTAGTTCCCAGAGTGCAACACGCGCCATGTTGCATGCAGGGCTTTATGGAAGTAGTCTATTGAGAACACGGAAAGGTAGCAGCAGCAGCCGCAGCAGCAGTTATACACTCAAATGAGATAAAAGATACGGTAACCAACCTGCGGTAAATACAGGAGACAATTAGGTGATGCGTTGTGCCGCTGCCGCTGCTGCCAAGTGAAGCGCCGTTGCTTGAGTTCCGAGCATTTGTAGTCCTCCGCTGGAGACGTGGAATGTCGATGAACCAATCGGACAGGTAGTCGTCAGCTGTGACGCCGCAACTGATACGAGGGCGTGCGAAGGCTTCTATCTTGCTTGTGCCGGCAACGATGTGTCAGCGAAAATGCAGATGAATTCGGCAGTTACTTCGGTTTTTTTGCTCGCCGGGCAATGTCCTGCGGTAAATACAGGAGACAATTAGGTGATGCGTTGTGCCGCTGCCGCTGCTGCCAAGTGAAGCGCCGTTGCTTGAGTTCCGAGCTTTTGTAGTCCTCCGCTGGAGACGTGGAATGTCGATGAACCAATCGGACAGGTAGTCGTCAGCTGTGACGCCGCGACTGATACGGGGGCGTGCGAAGGCTTCTATCTTGCTTGTGCCGACAACGATGTGCCAGCAAAAATGCAGATGAATTCGGCAGTTACTTCGGTTTTTTTGCCCGCCGGGCAATGTCCTGCGGTAAATACAGGAGACAATTAGGTGATGCGTTGTGCCGCTGCCGCTGCACACCCTCTACACAAGGAACAAAGTTTGTTCTGTGCTCCTTGGTGCAACTTACGGTGCTATTTGAAGTCGAATTTACCTTTCCACACATTCAGTACAGCTTTTTTTGAGCTCAAAAGACTACATCTACGTTAACTCCATTCGCTGCCCTCTTAAGGCTATGAGTAACTTATGCATGTATGGTACTACCACCAGCCTTCTTGGCATGTCCCTGGTGTTTCTATTCACGCCATCACATTTCTTGATCTCTTTAAGGAGCCTTTCAACGACGGACGTCAATAAGGAATCAGTGTATTCTGTGGACTTTAACCTCTGGGATTTCCATTGCTGCTACCCGTCTCGGGGAGCGACACAGCACATGGTTGAACAACACGTAGCATATAATGACCACTATCGCCCGCGCCGCGATTCCAAAAGCCCCCGCGCATATGCTGCAACGGCCTTTAATAAGCGGCGGAGCGCCGCTCGCGTGGCCAGTTGTCCTTGGCCCCCTCGCGGTGAAGATGACCACTGACGATTGTCGGCGGGGCAACCTGGGCCAAACGCTTTGAGTCCCCACGTCGACTACAGACCTTGCGACTTGCCCATTGAAGCTCTTTTGAATTGTGTGCGTGGAAGATTTGGTATTCAATTCTTTAGACGCATCCTCACGACGCCCCTCTTCAATAGTTTGGAGTGCGCGGAGTGGAATGGGAAGAGCGTTTTTTTCTCTCTAGTCTTATAAGACCAGCATACATCTCGTGCTAACACTTATAGTCTAAGGTCTAGGAATCTTAATGATCTTGCATCCGGGAGTTCATAAGCAATTTGCAACGGTTCCTACAATTTCTAACATGGTAATTAATTCGGTCACTAAGGTATTAAAACTGTTGTGGTTTGTGTCTACACACTATGAAAAAACGGTATCGATAGTCCTCCCTAAGGGGAGGGACGGTCTTGTAACATATGTTCTTTTAGAAAGGGAGAAACGTTCGTCCCTGAAGCAGGGGAGCAAAGTTCCCCCGTCCCCTGCATCTCAATATGGCGGCCACGGATTGAAAAAACCGAGCTCAATAAGGCTTAACGAGGACGCTACGTCTCTTGTACGGAACGGGATGAGCACCAAATAAAAGTGTAACACAAGCTTTCCGCGAACTGTGTTTATTTCCGAAGCCAGATTTCCTCGCAGGTACAGAAACTTGCGATTCAAAAGCAGTTACTCAGTCTTCTCGTCGGCAGCACTGCGATGTTAAACGGAGACAACCGATACCCAGTTACTTCACGCACTTTACCTTTTACCTTTGCTGTTCCTCGAGTCGCAATGCCTTCCTCAAGCGCACATCACGGAGGAATGGCAAACCAATCTGCGAAACCAAAAGCTGCTCTTAAAATAACAAACTCGAAGCCGCTGTTCATCGCGTAGCGTGAAAGAAGGTTAAATCGCTTGCCACCAGATGGCAGGGTCAAGCAGAGTAATTGCGATTAGCTAGGCTAGGTGGCGCTAGGTACCGTCCAATCTATGTTCTAAAAAAAATATTTTTATTTCTTCACGCCACCATTCCGCTTCGGGATCTGCGGGAACCTTTATTACACCCACATGTAGACACTGGGGGTGTCGCGAACCGGCGGAGGTTCGAGTTCGACCAGGTTCGACTTTTTCGATTTTTTAGTGGAAAGTTCGACGACCTTGTATTGAGGTTCGACTCGTGTGCGCATGCACGACAGGCTGGCCAGTTGGCTTCCGATTGGAGGGTGATGGCTAAGGGATGAATTAAGGGCAGCACTGATTGGTTATTTCAGTTAATACAGTACAACAAATTAAGTTATTAACTTCTTCAGTGATTAGAATTAGTTTTTTTTTTTTTTAATATCAGCTGTTCGAAAAAATTAAAATCCCTTTGCATAGAAAAAAATTCTCCAAGTCTAGACATGCTTGTATCAAGGTCTGGTCACACTGTCCACAAGGTCGAACCGGTCGAATCTGGTAAAACGTCCGAAGGTTCGTCGAAGCGGTTCCACCCAGTCGAACCCCGAATGTTCGACCTAAAAATTCGGTTCGACAGAAGTTCACGACACCCCTAGTAGACAGATTGCGCAAGCTACAACATCAGGTGAACATACATTGAGCGCATACACATACAACGGCACACTAACCCGATCACTACACCAGAGCTCTGCGTTTCCGTCTTTCATACTGGTCCTTTTGAACGGACGGAACTTCTCGGTGACTGCCTAAGCAATAAAAAAATATTCCCAGCACCTGGATTTTTTTTCAGCAATGTCATACCTCTGAGAGTATCTTGAATGGCTCAGGAAATTAATCTCTTAACAAAAAACGCTCGATCATGCCGTAATTATTTGGAAGCCAATAAATGAAGCCGCTCCAATGCGGTTCCAAGCCACAAGTTTATTTCCCCGCACGGCACGTCGTAGCAAGTATTTCTATTGTAAAGTTCTTTTCTTTTTTTTCTTTTTTTTTCTGTTTCCGCGAGGCTGCAATTACCGTCTTTAATTAATATCTGTAGAGCGGATATTCACCAGCTGGAAGTGATGCTTCACGGGCAGAGAAATCGCTTTTCAATCAACATGAATGCAGTCAAAGCCGCGATTTGCGGCAGGTGTTAAGTGTACGGAGCGACTTGGTGGCGAGCTCGAAAACTTCTAGCGCTCATCCCAGCGCACCAATTAAAGGACAGTTTCTCCAGGCACCATAGTATATTGAAACAGCAAAATAAAGGGTAGGTTTTTTTTTCGTTTTTACTTACTATTTATTTTAATGGTAAAATCCCACATTATAAGATACGTACTTTCCATCATAATTTCGCACTGTTCAGTCCTTTCCCCAGAGTGCAATCGCTTTTGGGGAGGAGACCACCAACAGTCAGATTGGCAACTGTACGATAAGAGCTTACCGTTCTGACCAGCGTTCCAACATGACTATCCGCACGTCGATCGATTGCACCTAATCCCTGAAGGGGTCTTAAACTCTTTAATGCAAAGCGGAATGTCAACCTGCGACCACCCCGCCCCCTCCGATCACGGCCCAACCAGCGGCAGCAATGCCCGACAGTTTACGTCGTCTCATCTTGTGTTTACACCACTGATACACGAACAGACGGTCACATCGACGCTAATTCTAGTCTTCTGTTCACAACACACTACACTGACATCACGATGTTGCTCCTATTTTGCTGACACGCAGAAATACAGAACCACGTTGATTGCCGGTTGGCACTCGGCACGGGAAAACAGAACCGAACTCAGCACGGAAGGCACCCAGACCGCCCGCAGCTAAATCGGCCTGTCTTGGACGCAGTTCCTGCGATTTCTATAACGTCGAAAACGTCGACACAGTTCCGCGTGATTTCGCTACTGTAGTTCCGCGTGGGTCCCGCAATCCGGAGACGGCCATCTTACCCAGGGTTGGGCAGAAACACTCAAAAATGTATTTGGAAACACAAATACTGGGATACATTAAAACGGTAGCTAAAATACTGATACTGAAATATATCTGTAAAAGTGCATTCCGACACCTATCGGAAATACATTTTAAATAGAGGCAAAAAGTATTTGGAAATACAAATACAGGAATACATTTTAGGGAGGGCAGAAATACAAATACAGAAATACTGATACTGCAATACATTTTTCAAATTTGTTTGAGACGCCAAATAAGATGAAGCTTGAAGTTGGAAGTGGAAGTTTTCCATCCTGAAATTACTTTCCCGTAGGCTTGGCTCTTTGCTTTGAAGGTAGTGATTTGGGACGACGAGGAGTCCTCAGTGGGCTCAAAAAAACGTTCAATCAATGACTGACCACGGTCCCTTCCCTGACATCCTGTTTGTCTGACGAGGGAGGTAAAAAGGCTTCGACCTCTATATAAAATCTATGTCATCCTAAATCCCATCAAAATGTCACCATGTCCAATAAGGACGCCCCTGTCACCATTTATCACATGACGTCACGGTGGAATGAACTGGTTTTCTTTGTCTGTAGGTGTGGCCTTGAACATGAAACTTTACCGCGCTGTTGTATGAAAGAACAATACTTGCGTTCGTTGTAGGCTACCTCGTTGAAGATCATGCAGGCAGTGTCATTTGGAATTTGCGAGAATAGTGGACCACCTGAAGCATCCTGGAACACATGACTTATTTTTTGTTACGGTTGATAAAACGATACGGTGGCATCTCTGTAGTGAAGGTCCTTCCTACCGAACCTCCGCCACCGACGCATCGATTGCAGTCCTCAAGTTTCGTCTTGCATACTCCAGATAGAGACCTCGTGGACTGCGACCTGATATTCCCGGCACAGGTGCGAGCTCTCCGACAAACAGCGCCCTCGAGAGGAGTCGCAGGTGTACGAAGTCTGGGTCGGCACAGCGAGGCCACGTCTGACCTCCGTCCTGGGTTTCGGATCACCAGAGCAGCGGGTCACTTTCACGTCGGCTGATGACGTACCCTTGAGCCGTGCAATATTACGGGCGCAGCCGCAGACGCATTCGAATATGTATTGAACTTCACTGCGTGAGTCATCCTACTATTTCAAGTCAACCACCGCCAGGCTCGTGCTGCAATGGACTGTGAATCAGCTTTGCCGGCTGGGAGTACTGTGTGCACTAAGGCAAAAGAGACGGTTAGCAGCGGGCTTTGGATGCGAGTAAACCATGACTCAAGAAACCCCCACCTAAGGACCTGCGGCACAAGATACTGTGACTGCAATCCTGGCACGCCACCTGGTTTGAGTCCCCGACTAGGCAAAACTTCTCCGAAGAGAGAAGAGGACGCATAGAAAAATGGTTCGGAGATTTGGAAGGAACCTGGTCAGCACGGTAACAATGCCCCAGCATCTCCTTAACCCTAATG